GTTTATTGTTTCAGGTAGTTTGGATGATCGCGGGAAACCGAAGGCCTGATCGTGCACATATTCCTGTTTTGTGTTATTGGATCTTGGGAAAACTCTGAATTTGAATAATACTTTTGAAACAATGACTATTTTGTACACAATGATTGGTTAATGGTTGAAATTTAAAATTTTTAAATTTTTATGAATTTTGGAGTGTCACAATCCACTTAAATATTGAGTTTAGAAACATCAATAGTATCATGGAGTAGAGATTCGTTTACAATCATATGTTGATTTGCTCCTGAATCAACTACCCTTTTTTGAAAACTTACAGTATAGTTAAAAGAGTTAAACAATGAAGTACCTGTCATATTGGCACTAGCAGGTGCTTCATCAATAACAGTCTTGTCATTAATAAGACGAAAAAACTTGTTATAATGCTCACTTGTAAGATAATGAGTATCCCTCACTCCAATAGATTTAGTGGAAACAATAGGAGTATTGTTAGAAGAAACAGATGAATTACTAGAGTAATGCCTATTTCTTGATTGTTGAACTCGTATTTAGGTTTATAATAATTTGGATAACCAATCAACTTATAACATTTTTCAATTAAATAACCTTTCAACACATAATTTTTACATTGTAAATTCTAATTATAAACCCTATTTTGATTTTGATTATTTTGACCATGTTTTTAGAAGACAAATATCCATTTCTTTGATGAGACACTTCATGAGAGAAAATAGAGAAAGCAGTCTTGTCATTAGGTAAGGGGTCCATTAGTAAAACGTGACTCTTTACCTGATTATAGGAATCGTCAAGACCACTCAAAATTTGAATAAGATTCATAAGCATAGCATGATTATTGAACTTTGTAGCAACCTCACATGTACACTCACTCAAACAAATTAGTTTGACCATCAAATTCTTTCCAAAGAGAGTCAAGCTTATTATAATAGTCAGACAAAGTAGTTCCATTTTGTTTGAGGGACTTTATTTGTTGATGAATATTAAACACTACAGAACCGCCAACTTTATTATAGGTTTCAAACATTTCGTTCCAAATCTCTTCAACAATTTCAGAGTAGGCATGGCCAGCATAAATTGACTAAAAGATAGACCCAAGAATCCAAGAATATACAAGAGCATTGGCACGTTCCCATTTTAGGGTTTTAGTATCGGGAACAGTACTCTTTTTTAATGTACCATCTACAAACCCTACTTTGTTTCTGGCCTTAAGGACTCTAAGCATAGAACTTCGCCATTACCTAAAATTTTCATTACCAGTAAGTTTGATTGAAACAATAGTAGTGACGATGTTATCAGATTGATGAACATAAAGAGGATCATCAAAACCAACAGGGTCAATTTTAGTACCACTACTACCAGTACTACCAGAATCAACATGTCCAGTCATAATGAACAATCATATACAACTAGACAAAGAAAAAATAGATCACACACAGAAAACACAAACCAAGTGTAGACCTTAAAGTCCTGATGGTCACCACGGTTTGTTGGGGCCTAAGACAAGTCTACACAAGTCAAGAAAACAAGCAAGAACCAGAAACTAGATAAGGTACAAAAAATGACTGGTGTGCTCAAGATAACCAAGTTCTCTCAAATCGATAATAGAAGGGAACAAGAAACAACTCACAGTTGTCCTAATAGACACTTTTGGAGAGACTGTAATCTCTGGTTCTGTTCCTTACTAGAATTATTTCGGTGATCAAATCCGTTTTTGAGTGAGATTAATTAGAACACTCTTGGAGTTTGACCGATCGAGTCGCATTGCAACCAACTTCCTTCAACTCACAAAAGATTTATCCGACTAGCATAAGCAGTACCTACAAACAAACCACAGCCTCACAGTAACCGAGGCCTAAAAGAGCAGTAACACTCAAAGAAGAACCCTAGATCAACACCAGAGGTGAGCAATCTACAAGGATCAACGAAGAAACCCTAGATCTGACTCCAATGAAACAGATCAACATGATAAAAGAAAACAGATCCTAGATATGACACAAAGAGTGTCAAATCTAACAATGACCATAATCAAAAGCGGAAGTAAAGATGAGAACGAAAACCCTAACTTTCGCTGCAATGAGACCGATGAATAGCGACAAGGAACGATCAAGCACTATTGCTCTCATACCATCTTAAGAAGTACAAACACATCCCAACATAATCAATTCTCTTATAAAATGTTAAGAACCATATTGTTTGCAAGAACTTACAAATTAAAGCCACTACAAAAATCCTATTCTACTCTCAACTTAAACTCCTCTCAAGAACATATAAGAATGTAAAGAACTTAGAGAGAAAACTAGGGTTACAAAGAAACCCTAAAGTATAAAGAAACCCTAATTACAGAAAGAAGAACACGTGCTCTAAACATATGTATGTGAACTAAATCGTCTAATGAGGAATGGAAACGCAAGCTAAATACGCTGGGTAGAAATCTGACCCATCAACAGAGAGATCCGCGTGTTGAACCCGGAAAGTATTAAAGAAACGAGCCCCAGTCCACCAAAACCTGCAATATTACACAAACTACACAAACTCAAACAATGTAACAAAATATAATCAACACAATACAAAACATACCTCTAACAATCCAAAGACGTTAAGTTTGAACCAGAAAATGATACTTTTAACAAAAACCTTATTTTTGAGTTTTAGGTTTATAAAGGGGAGCCCATGGCAGTTGGATATCAGACCATGGGGGGAGCCTACGGCATTCCAGGTAAAGACCATGGGGGAGCCCATGGCAAGTAGCTAAGACCATGGGGGGATCCCATGGCATATAGGTATAAGACCTTTGGGGGAGCCCACAACATCCTGGAGTAAGACCTTGGTGGGTTTCCACGGCATCCCTATATGTTTTTGTGCATGGCTTATGTGATTGATGTGGTTATGTGATTATGTGGATTGTGGGGTATGTTATGGGGAACTCACTAAGCATTAGCTTACAGTTTATTGGTTGTTTCAGGTACTTCACGATATAAGGGAAAGAGCCCGGCGTGATGGAGCGGCATGCACTCTCTGGTGTTTTATTTTGGACACTCTGATATTATGAATACTTTATTTGATGTATGGATTTTGAAAACAAATGTGTTTGGAATTTTATAATTAATGAAAATGTTTGCGTTATCTAAATGAAAATTTTTACTGAAAACTTTGGGTTGTTACATTATGCAACAGGCATTAAACTCTTCTGAGCAAAACGCAAGTCTATTATCCATGCGAACATACTTTACCACCAACCTTGATTGCTTTTCAACTTGTACTTTCCAATTTCTTAAGGTAGAAAAAACATATCCCTTATGTTTCAAGAAGAAAGACAATACCTTCCTGTAGAATCATCAATGATAGTGAACACATAAACAACTCCACCTTTTGAAGCAACTCGAGTGGGTCCCCACAAATCTGGTTGTACATAGTAAAGTGGTCCTTTCATTATATGAATAACACTCAAAAATCTCACTCGTTTTGCCTTTCCATATACACATTTTTTACAGAAATCTAAATCAATAATCTTTTTTTCACCAAGTAATCCTCTTCGACTCAATTCAGACATGCCTTGCAAACTCATATGGCCGAGTCGTAAGTGCCAAAGACGGGACTGATATGGATCAGAAAGAGACTTTAAAAAAACAACAGCTTCACTCGAAATCATTTGTGCATCAAGAAAGTAGAGAAGGTTTTACAATTGGCCCTTAGTCTGTCAGAACCATCTTTGAATACCTTGAGAACTCCACCTTTACCAGCAAACTCGTATCCCCAAGTTTCTTCTAAGGTTAGGAACATATCTAACTTCCGCAATGGTTCGGATAACCCTGTCAAACATCCGGATTCTGACTAAGCCATGTCCAACAACTACACATGTAGAATTGTTACCCATCAGAACATAGCCTTGGTTAACCTTTTCAAATGTGTAAAACCAACTTCTGTTGTGACATATATGAAAAGTACAACAAAAATCGAGTATCCATTTACCACTTGAATCAAGTTTATCTGAATAAGCTGTGAGAAGTTCTCCAATACAACCGACCTCTGCTACATCGGCTTCACCTGAAGTGCTAGCTTGTTTACCATTTGCTTTTTCTTTCTTTTTATTATTCAACTTGAAGCATTCATCAATCTTATGTCCCTTTTTTTTACAGTAATTACAAAACTTTCATTTTCTTTTAGACATGGATATGGTCCTGTTGGAAGATTGAGGATTTTTACCTCTATCTGTAGTCCTTCCTCGGGCATTTAAACCTTCGGCATTTGCATCACTCGAACCACCACCATTAATATGTTGCATCTTCTCTTTTGAATCCAAAGTTGTAAAAACTTCATCTAAGACAAGAGTTTCACGGCTATAGATGATAGTGTCACAAAAATGGTTGTAGGATTCGGACAATGACAACAACAAGAATAAAGTTAAATCTTCATCATCATATGAACATCCATATTCTCTAAGTTACATACTAATTGTTTGAATGTGGGTAAATATTAAACAAAAGAACCTCCTTCAATTATTTTTAGATTGAACAACCGCTGCTTTAAGTGCAACTTGTTTGGTAGGCTCTTCGTTATCAACAATTGCTCTAACTTTAACCATAAAGCAGCCGCTGAAGTTTCTTTCAAAACATCTTGCAAAACATCGTTTTACAAATGCAAATGAATCTGGTATTGATATTTTAAATCTTTTGTCTCTTTTTAGACCTGAAACAACCATTTTAGATCCGATGCTCTTTTTAGACCCAAAACAACCAACTTAGACCTGAATTGTTGAAAATAAAAAATAGCTCTTGAATTAAGCAGAACATTTCAATTTTGAAAGGCATATTTCCACAATTTATCTTTCCTCTTATCGGGGCAGTTCTACTTGGTTTATTCATGTATGGCCTTATTGCTTATCGACAACAAAAGAAAATGTATCCACATAAATGAAGAAAGAAGAGATTATTTTTCAGTTAGAAGTTTTGATGGAGGTATAGTATATGATGACATCTTGAAAGCAATGAATGCTTTTGATGAAGCAAATTCTATTGGGACAGAGGATATGGGATTGTGTACAAAGCCTAGCTACAACCTATAATGTGGTAGCGGTCATGAAACTTCACTCATCATCTAAGAATGTTGATCATAATGGATTCCTTAATGAGATACGAGCATTAATCATCATAAGGCATCGACACATAATGAAACTCTATGGATATTGCTTCCACTCCCGCCACTCATTTTTTATTTCCGAAAACCTTGAAAAGGGAAGCCTTGGATCAATCTTAAGAAGCGATGTCTTAGATAAAGAATTGGATTGGTTGAAAAGAGTCAATATTGTGAAAACTATAGCTAATGGTTTTGGCTTATATAAATCAGGATAGCTCACCTCCTATAATTCATAGAGACATTTCCATTGCCAACATCCTTCTCGACTCTGATTGTGAGGCACATATTTCTGATTTAGGCACGTCCAAGCTTTTAAATCTAGACTCGTGAAAGTCGACCGCAATTGCAGGTGCATATGGTTATATCGCGCCAGGTAACGTAATCTTGTGATTATGGTTCTACATCTTCTTAAGTTTCATTATATATATAAATATGTGCATATATGTATTTATGATAAATCCTTGTGGGGTTGATATAGTTTTTGTTATCTTAAGTTTCTTTAGATGTAGAGCTTGCTTATATGATGGTCGCAACCGAGAAATGTGATGTTATAGCTTTGGCATTGTTGCACTAGAGTTGATCATGGGAAAACAACCCGGTGAACTACTAACATTGTCTACTGATTATTTGGTGTAAGCAAATATGGGAGATAGTCGGATTCCAATTCCCTCACCAGAAGTTGAGATACAAGTTAAGTTAGTGCTGAGCCTCTCAAGAGCATGTTTGAACTCCAATCCAAAAGAAAGACCAACAATGCCCCAAGTTTCAAATCGGTTAATGAAAGATTTGCTTTAAATGGACATCTCTTGCCTGGTCAATATAGTGTACTTTAATTTCAGTGTTCTTTACTTTTCTCAAGTTCCCTATATGCATCGTGTCAATAAGTATTTATTTGAATGCCTTTTTGTTAAAAAACTTTATATATGTTTGTACTAGATAAATAAATAAGTCAGTGAAAATTGCTAAGCTTTTAAAACTTATTACATGAAACCAAGGTCTAACTATAAATTATATAAAGTTTTGATGATATACTTCTTATATCTATTTCAAATTTTTATTTATTTAGTAAGTTAAATGTTTTAAAAATAATAATTCTTATAATGACTTCATATTTTCAAAAAGAATACACATGTCCATAACTTGCGTAGCGCCATCATGTTATATACCCTTTACCATACCTAAGTGTCCTCCCTAATAAATAAAGAACTTTTTTGGCACATGTCACATTCTCATTGATTTGGTCACATGTCATTTTGTGGTTATTTTCAATTAATTTTTTTCCACATGACATTTTGTGGTTTTTTTCATTTTATTAATTTCCATATAATATTTAAATGTAATAAATACAATAAATGCATATCAATTTCATTAATTGATTTCCTTTTAATTTCAAATTTTCTAAATTAAAGTTTCATTAGTTTCCATTGTTTATATATCTAAATTATTTGTTTAATTTAAAAGAAAAACAAACAATTTAATTTTAATAATTAATATTTTTCAATTTTTTTTTATAAATTTAAACTTCTCAAATGTTTAGAATTTCATATTTTTTTCTTTAAAAATGAACCCATGTAATACATGGGTTTTATACCTAGTTTCAAATATACAAAATATATTTCTATTTTAAATTATATGATGAACAATCAAAGCTAATGGTGAGAGAGTCATTGGTGAATTTTATCAACAAATGCTATTATAGATGGGATGTGTCTTTACAAAGACGGAAAATTTTAAATATTAAGAAAAAATTTCCCAAATTAATAATACCGAACTATGAATTGCAATCGAAGCCCAAATACTAAAATGAGACTTGGACTAAGATTTATGCCCCTTAGCTTCTTCATGCCCTAGGTCGGCTTTGGTCCTTCGTGTCCCTTAATTTTCATTCCTCCACTTTATAATAGTCTTTTACATCTGTTTACAGGCTCTCTCTGTCAAAGGTCACACCTTGACTCTTGTTGTGATATATAAGATTAGATAATGTCACATTCCATGCTATGCCATATCATGTTGAAATGAAGTTTACTTATTCAAGTTATATAATATGAGACTGTTGTAAAAAACGAGGTTGAGATCTTGATCGTGTGTTGTAGAGTTCAAAATTCAGAAAAATTGCCATCAATAGTTGCCAATATACAACAAATTATCATGGCCATTAGTGCACTGAGCAAGGTTTCGGTTCATTCATTCACACATATTTATCGATAATGTGTATACTTCATCTAATGTCCATGCAGGTTGGTAATTAGTGTCTATGAGTGCTCCTATGAATCCTTGCAAAGAACAAATTCAAACTCATTAATGGAATTCAAATAGTTAATATTCATTAAACTTGCATTTTTGCAACGAGCATCTACAAATGAGCCTAAATTGAGTGTTGGAAGAGGATAACATAGAAATTTGAGGAAAGACACCAAAACATACCTTTTAAGTGATATCCACTTCAACTATCCTGAACAACACTTCAACCACTCTGCGTCTACTATATCTACTATAGAAATGGATTCACACATTTGAATGATCACCAATCTGTTTTTAGTTTGAAATTTTCCTGTGATTTGGCTGGATTCTAGTGATTTGGTAGCGATTTCTGATTGATTAAATATGAATTTATGTGATTGATATAGCATTCAGATGATTTAGTAGCGATTTCTGATGGATTCAACGACCAGGAGAAGGAAGGCGGAAGACTGAGCGTGAGAGATGAAAAGAGCAAGAGGGAGCTATGAAAATCCATGAGGAGAGTAAATCTAACGACCAGACGAGTGAAATGGAGGATTGGAGGTTATGAAATTTAAAAGGGGAAATTAAAATTATTTTTAAATGTTAATTACTTTAAACATCTTACCTTAATATAAAAACCAATATGCACAAATATAAGGTTGAAGAAAATAATATATTTTTTTCTCTTTTACATTGGAAACCACCTGTTAAAAATTGAATTTTTCAAACATAAAATCAAGACAAGACTACTGCAAAAATGGTTAGTTGAAAATTATCAATTTGGTTCAAAAAGGTTTGGAGTAGGATAAGAGGTTCAAACTTTTTATTTTATTATAAGTTTGGTCTGTTTCAAAATTAAAATATTAAAATGACTTTTTTTACCTTTATTATTTGTTTTTTATTTTCTTTTTATTTACTCCACACTTTTTAATTAAAAATAAAAAACACATCTCTCTCTCTCTCTCGAAATGAAGAACTTCCCTTAAAATCATTCTTTTCTTCCCCATCATCTGCAATGGTTTGAGCTTTCCAAATTCTTTCATCTGAAAAAATGTAGAGTTCCCAAATCCACCAATAAATTTTTTCTAAGAAAGAATACAAACCGTGTTCGAATTTTGGATTTTATTCCCCTTCTATAAAAGTCATCGGAAAACTCATCTATTTAGAAATATATGAGTTCGATTTCTTGTTGTTGAAATCGATGGTCGACGACATTCTTCCACCGCCACCGGAGAAGATCACTTGCTGCCATAAGCCATCGAGAAGTTTTAAGAAACCAGAAGAAGACAACTTACCACCACCGGAAAAGAAAACTTACTACCTAATCAGTCTCTGAAACCAAAACAATCAACCCTCGCCGCAATTCCGACGAACGCTAGGATTTCAAACAGTCGTCAGATAAGGAAAGAGACAAAGCGATTGTTGTCGTGTTCATTGAGGTAGTGTTTGCAGAGGCGAAGATCGACGGGTTACGGGTCCAATGAATCTATTTGTCGTGTAAGGAGAAGACAACCAGCCCCACTACGGTACCACCGTATAATGATCTTAAAAAGAGAGAGATGCTACCATATCCTCCTCTATTCATCGCTGGCTAGACTGCATTGATGACATCCATTGGTGTCGGTCTTCTTCACCATCGAAACTCCTTAAAACATCATCCACTCTTTTTCATTCTTCTTCTTTCAAATGATTAGAGATAGTAACGATGAAGATTGGTGTGTTTCTTGATGAACAATAAAAATTTACTTTACAGATCTAGGTTTTTACACATGAATACATTTGGGGATGGATGTCTACGATTCGAGGAGAGGATACAAGGAGGATACCTGCTTTCGTTTCTTCTTCTGCTATGTTTTTTTTTTGTTTTCAGATAAATGGATAAATGGCAGTTGGGTTTTTTTTCAATAGAAAACAAACACAAACACACATCGAGGTAAAATATATGTGATTTTTTCTTTAATTTTGAGTAGCAGGTATAGTAAGGAAGAAATGTAAAATATATGTGATTTTTTTTCTTTAATTTTAAGAGAGAGAGAGAGAGAGAGAGAGAGATTTTCTTTATTTTTTTTATTTTTGTAATAAAAAAATTTTAAAAAGAGAATTCAGAGGGTAAAATCGACATTTAAAAAAAATTAATGCAAATTGGACCAAATTTGCAACAAAATGAAAACTTTAGACCTCTACTCCTAATCAAAACCTTTTTTTTTTACCAAAATTTTCGACATACTACAGGGACCATTTGTATAGTTTTGTCTAAAATCAATTTCCAAATATGTATTTTCAATTAAAAACTATAATTTTTGAAATAAAATATCATCTTTGCAATCATATTTTCAAATTAAAAAGCAATTTTCAAACCAGAAAGCAATTTTTTCAACTGTTTTTTCCAACTAAAAATCAATTCTCTAAAATGGAAAAAAAATGTACCAAAACATAATATATACACTCCAAATTGCCATCAAATAATTGGAGCAACTTTAAAAAAATATATATCCATGAAACGTTTCTCACACACCTCCTGTATGGGACTCAAGTTTTTGTGATAAAGACTATCACCAACATTTTGTTTTCTAGCTTCTCGGTGGAAACCCCTTTTTAATGAATTGCTTAATTTTTAACAAGACGCCCAAGATTTTGTTCTTGATATCTCTATAGAGGATCTTGGCCAAAATATATCACGAATGTAGTATCAGACCATCCTTAAGTATCACCTAATGATCCATTTATTTCTCGTTGACTAGATATGCCTAGTTTGTCATAAAGCTTGCTTAGACTCCATTGGAGACCATGTTGTACATTGTCGAGAGCTCGTAGGTTTTAAGTATTGACATGATATGGTTAGGGATGTTATTTTTGACGTATTTAGGAGGGTCGAGGTTTCGGGTAAGAAAAAAAGCACTTGTGAATTTCTTGACTAATCCATTGGAAGGAAGATCAACACTTAGATTGACGGATATTTTGGTTTTTGGGTCGACAGGAGGGAAGCATGCTT